AAGAGATCATGAATGGTCCTGGATGCAGGTGAGCTAAGTCTTGGTGAAAGTCTTGGTGTGAAAGCACACCCCTCCCTCTGTAACAGATTCTGGAGCCTTGTTTTGTAACTATAGTAGGTTGGATATTTTCCACATATACTGGAAATAATGATGCTTTGAGTGCTTTTTGCTCTCCTGTAGGGTGCTCTCCTGTTGAGCATATTGATATGTCCTGACTTGTCTAGTGGGTGTTTACATTCAGAGGTTTTGGCATCTGATTCCTTCACAGGATTTGTGTATGTAGTGATGCTGTGAGGAGCTGAAACAGCTTTCACCTCTGATACATTTGAGGAGAGAAATAGAGCCAATGGAGATAAAACAGTCTGTCCTGTAGCACAGTGAGTATGGGCTTGCACTTGGGTGCAGTGCAGCAGAAGTGGTTGAAGGGGTCTCTAAGTGGAGAAAATCCTGAAAACTGCTGGTTGAACCACTCTCCTCTGAGTTGAGACAGCTCTGAAGCACAGTCACATAGGAGCAAATCAATTACAGTCCCATGCAGCTACCTCATAGGCCACTATACCTTCCAAGATGTGTAGCTGTGGGTATTGTGGAGTCATAAAATTACTTTTGTTGGAAGGGATGTTAGAGATCATCTTGTTCCAGCTACCCTGTCATGGGCAGGAATGCTTTTCACTAGATCAAGCTGCTCAAAGCCCTATCCAGTCTGGTCTTCAACACCTGAGGGGATGAGGCATTCACAACTTTTCGAGGCAATATGCTTCAGTGGCTCATCACCCTCACAGTAAAGAATTTATTTTTAAAATCTAAGGCAAATCTCTTCTTTTTTAGTTGGAAATTATTTCTCCTTGTCCTATCCCTATCTGTCCATGTAAAAAATTAGTCTCCCTCTCTTTTTTATAAACACCATTTAAGCACTGGAAGGCTGCTTTAAGGTCTCCCAGGAGCCTTCTCTCTCTTCCAGGCTGAATAAACCCAGCTCTCAGTGTGTCTTAATAGGAGAGGTGTTAATCCCTTTCATCTTTTTGGCCCTTCTCTGGATCCACTCTAACAGGTCCACATCATTATTGTGCTGAGGACTCCATACCTAGTTGCAGCACTCCAGGTGGGGTCTCACCAGGGTAGAGAGAGAGGGAGAATCACTTCCCTCCACCTGCTGGCCATGCTGCTTTTTTGATGCATCCCAGAAGGCAATTAGCTGTCTGGGCTGTGATTAACCCAAGTCATTCTCTGTTAGGCTGCTCTCAGTGGGTTCCTCCAGACTGTACTCATGCCTGGGATTACCCCAAACCATCTGCAGTATCTTGCACTTGGACTTTTTGAACTTAAAGAGGTTCTCATGAGCCAGCTTCTCAAGATTGTCTGGTCACTCAGGACAATATCCCTTCTTTCTGCTGTGTCAAGTATACTGTTTGGCTTCATGTCATCTGCAAACTTCCTGAGGGTCCATTTGATCTTACTATTGTCATTGGTGAAGATATGAAAGAGCAAGTGTTTTGTCTGGGGGGCTTTTAGGTGGGTTTTTTTTTCAGTTTGAGTGGCTTAATTGGTCATGCAGCAACAAATTAGTTGTGCACCAACAAAACAAAAACAATCACTTATTAATGTTTTACTGATGTTCTCCTGTGCACACTCCAGGTTTGCAGGCCTCCAGGCTTTTCATTTCCTTGGTTCCATTCAAATCAATAGACTTATCCATTGAGTCATAGAATCAGAATAATGTGGGTTCAAAGAGGTCATTAAAGGCCATCTAGCCCAACCTCCTTGCAATGAGCTGAGACATCTTCAACTCAGTCAAGTTGCTCAGAGCACCATCCAACCTGTCCTGGAACACTTGATGGATAGGGCATCTACTACCTCTCTGGGCAACCTGTTCCAGTCTCTGATTTTGAAAGGTAATACCTGGAATACTGTTATGTTCATATTCTGACTGGTAAATGTTAATATTTCTTATTACCTGAACTCTGGAGAGAGAGGGGGGGGTGGGGGTTGTTTTGTTTGGGGTTTTTTTTGGTGGTTTTTTTTTTCTGTTTCAGCAGCTTAATTGGTATTTTTATAATATAGGTGTGATACCGTGTTTGTGTTGTTCATGTTTTATTCTCTAATGAAACAGCACTTAGATTTGGATTTCAGAGGACATGTGTTTGAATATATTTTTTCACTTTAACTTATCTTCGATGGGTGAATTCAAATTTAGTTGCATTCCAATCTTTCAGACCAGGAAGAAGCCTGAAGTTGTGCACCATGCCAGGGACAGCTAGCTAGTATTCAGACAGGTTTTTTGGATGATAAGCTGCCACAAAGACAGCATGAAGTGCTGTTAGGGACTAAAGCAGCACAGGACAAAGATCCACTGTGAGGTTCCCTGAAGTCTTTGGGTGGCCAGGACTGTTGGCTGTTCAGAGCACTGCATTTATCCAGACAAGTCTGTGGTGTGCTGGAGTTGCTTCCTGTGTTCCTGAGCAGATCTGTGTTCCATCATCGGTGTGCTGGACAGGAGTGTTCTCTTTGCAGAGGTTTCTGAAGGCTGGAAATGCCTGGCTGTTTTGGAAGGCACACCGTGGACTGATCCTGGTATTGGTGTTGGACTTCTGCTACTGGCTCCCATGAGCAGCATCCCTCATTTGTTGTGGAATTCCTGCACCTTATAGGCTGGTTTTGGGAAGCTCTGTACTGGGGAGATGCAGCCAGACTGTCTTGTTTAGGAAATAATAGGGTTTTTTTGGTGGGTTGTTTGGGTTTTTTTTTACTTTTCAGCAGTATTCCATGCATGATTCACATATATTTTGTTAAACCTTTGTGTTTGATGCAGTTCTTTGTGGAGGGCTTTTGCTTCAAGCATAACTGGGGAAGATTGCCAAAATGTTGTTAACCTTCATGTCAGTGCTCAGCTTCCAGAAATTTCCCAGATGGGACTTTACACCTTACAGCTGTTAGGCAATGGCAATTAACCCCAGAGCATCTTTTTTAAGTAAGATCTAGTGCCTGAAATATTTGGCCTTGTTACTGTCTTTCTACTATAGCTACTCCTAACTTATGAGTGAGGATTTGGGATTGAAGTGAACTATATATCCATATTGCATGAGAAAAGTTTAAAGTGTAAGGTCATGGCCTCTGGAGGCTGCCAGCAAATGAGAATGACAAGTAGGAACATAGAATTAACACAGAGGCATGTTTTCCAGGTATATTCTCCTTCATTAACAAAACAAAAAAGGAAAAAGGAAGAATAAAAGAAGTTTTAAGGGTTGGTGAACCCCTTTCAGGCAAGTATTCAGCCAAAGCTGAAGAGTAAATGGTCATATGAATGGAAGAACGAATTACCCACTTTGGGGTTTTGTTTTTGTGTTTTGTTTTTCTTTTTCTTACTTTCTCCAGATGTCTATGCAACTTTTTCACTCTTTCCCCAGTTTTTTTTCTAGTGGAATAATCATGTCTGTTGAGAGAGACTCCTCACAAGCATTATAAATGCTGCAGTGTTATGGCCACTGCTACAAAATCTGAGATAGAGTAGGTGGTGTTTCTCTGAAAACAGTACCTTTCAGATCGTTTCAGACTTTACATTCTAGTGTACTGTAACAACAGGTTTAACAAGATATTCTTCCTTTTGTGCATTGGTTCCAACCCTTTAACTTTGTGGAGGCCCCTTCTGTTGAGGAAATGTTTTTTTTATGATGGTATGTCATGTGCTGTAGTGGAACTTAGACTGCCCAGGGGCTATGTTGAGACTGCCAAGTCTGTGGAACTACTCATCTTGACTTTGCAGGACTGTTTTCCCTAAGGGAAAATGCAATCATCAGGTTTATTGTATAGTGACAGATGTTTAATTTGTAATGTGTCACGGCAACTTCAAGAGCTCCACGTTTGGCAAATAATGCTTCAAATACTGCTTTTATTTGAGAAGACAGCTATGATGTATGGCTGGAGTTGCTGCGGTTCTGCTTCCTTTTTCGTTTTGAGTTCTCTTGGAAAAAATGGTCCTTAACCCTTGGCTAATACCCTGTTACAGTTGAGGTGTGTGTGATGCCTTTTCTTGTCATCATGTGAGTTATGTAAAAGTCCTGCTTATGTAAGGTTTGTCTGATAGCTCCTTCATTTCCATTGTCTTTCTATGTCACTTGCCTACAACTTTTGGGGCAACTACGTCTCTGGTCATCCAAAAATATTGTGTTACTGTAGTCACAAGGATATTGTCTTGGATTTTGCAGTATGTTACTCTGTTCAACAGATCGGTGCTGTGTGCTCCACTAATGGGCCTAACTTTGCTTGATGTATTGAAATGCCCTCTGGTGTGGCATAAAGTTTATTAAGCTGAGTAGCAGGTGACAATAGGCTTAAATGTGACTTTTGACTGCTGTTAAGAAATGTTCTTCATGGGCCATCTTAGGACCTTACCCCAGTCTATCCTAAAAATGGGTATGGGATGTTACTTACTTGTTTGTGAAATAAATTCATCTGACAGTTGTGCAGTGGTTAAATTCAACTCAGCTGCTTAAATTTCTGCTTGTAACTCAATGCCAGCAGCAGGAATATGTATACTAAGATTTCTGCTTGTCCAAGTCTGTAGAGTCTGCACAATATCTGGTGGTAGTATATCTCTACATTTCCATGTGCTTCTACTGGTCTGTATAAATTGAATTTTAGACCTTCTAATGTCTGTGTACTGTATGGTTCTCCAGAGTCAAATGTTCTGCCTGTAGTACTTGAAGCAACTGCATTTAAATATTAATTTTAAAAAATGTGATTCATACTGTGGGAATGTTCAATAGAGAGACCTGCAGCCAAAGCAACAGTGTCCAGCTGTGCTGTGGTTCACAGTAAAATTCTGGACTGTGGTTTTGCATTGCTTGTCACATGATCATAATAATGAAAAAATGAAAACATTCCTGCATTTGAGGTGAATGAAGGAAGATAAAACGTAAATGTAATAAACCTGTAATTTTCCCAAGTACTGCAGCTAGTGTATCTGATATGTTAATGCAACTACTTTTGTTGTGTCACTGCAGATAAATTCTGAGGAGCGTGTTGATACAGCTGATCAGGAGACAGTCTCCTGGGATCACAGTATTCCTGAAGACATAAAGCAAAAAATACAGCCTAAAGAGGTGCCAGCAGAAAGTGTCACTGTTTGGATCGATCCATTAGATGCTACACAAGAATACACAGGTAGCTGATTCTTGTTGACAAATCATGTATGTAATTCTGATCTTTGCCTTTTACACTGGAGACAAGATAGTAAGTATTTAAAAGGACATCTCATGTTCAAGTGTCTTATGTCAAAGCTAGCATGATTTAATTGAACAGATTGCATTATGAAATCTCTGTAGTTTTCAGCTTACAACATTTGCTTTTATATATTCCAACTCTGAAATTACTTTGCTATCCTTACAACTAACTAATTGCTATAATAAATGGTAACTGTCAATTATGGATTGTACTGGAATTACACATTTCTTTATTTAAGTCATTACTGTGGCAGCTCTAAGTATCTTAGATTTTTGGTTTTGTTTATTTAAAGGGGAGATTAAGTAAGTATTCTATTCAGCTTGATATAAGGAATTTTTTGTTGTCATTTTTCAGAAAAGCATGCATAAATCAGTCTTCGTCATTTTCAAACATTTTAGGATATCACATAAGCAGTTCAAGGCAATCTGACTAAAATTCTTGCTGATTAGTACTAAGGAGCAACTAGAAAAATGGGATTTTTTTTTTTTTGTGTGTCCATGTAATTGATACGATTATCCTTTCCAATGGATGTTCTTTGTTTTTTGAATTACCATTTTTTGAGACAATAGAGGATAGGAGGTGAGGCAGAGAAGGGCGAATGGGGGGCACGGATTGCCATGAAAATGCATGTTGCGTAAGACACAGCTGTTAGCATTAGATCTGGTAGGAGTATAGGTTACATCTACTGAACAGGAAAAATTGCTGAAAACCTGAAAAGTCTTCAAAGTCTTTTGAAAACTGAAAGGTTATTTGAAGGTACATCAAAGTTACATAACTGTAAGAGGCAGAATATAAACTAGTCTTCAGAGAATAATCAAAATAATCTCCTTTTGTGTTCTTGGCATCTGATTGTAAACTTGCTCACTTTCTTGTTTTGCCACAGAGGATCTTCGACAGTATGTCACGACAATGGTTTGTGTGGCTGTAAATGGTAAACCAGTAATAGGTGTGATCCACAAGCCCTTCTCATCATACACAGGTATCTTCATGCCTTCACATATTTCCATGATAGTCAGTCATAGTAGTAATTGAAATTTGATGTTTGAGAGAACATCTCTAGGTATAAATGAGGAAAATAGTACCAGCAGCAAAAGAGCATTGCAGCAGACCCCACAATTAGAACTATAGATGTGTTCTGTGCTATAAAACCACAAAAGAAAATGCTACCTTTTTTTAAAATAAAAATTATGCATTTAGAACAAACTAACTGAAAATATTTTAAAGAGCTAAGATCCCTTCAATTAGAATGCCTGTAGCAATCAACAAAAAAAGTTAAACCTACAAATACTGACCAGTTTGATGTGTACTTTTAGTTTTTAGCAAAAAGAGTGTTTTGCTCATTTAGCAGAATAGCTTGGGTCTGTGATAATTATACCCAGGAGCTGCTGTTTATTCAGTGTGAATAAAAAAAGACTGAATAAAGATCTTAATGGCAACTGTTTGTATGTAACAGGCACGACTGTCTAGCATAGCCTTATTGATTATCTGACATGTTTTTAATGCCACAACTGTGAAGTAATTAATTCTTTAGTATTAATGATGTATCAGCGAGTATTGCTGCATGTTTGGCAATTTGCATGCAATTCTGAGAGCTTCAGAGTAGTTTAAGTCTTCATGTCTTACTGTGTATTTAAAACAGGAATTGCTGTTTACATTTTCCCTTAGGCAATACTGACCTCTAGAGTTCTGAAGTTTTGCAGTAGCTCTGGAACAAAAACTAAGTCTGAATAAATGCATTTTGTATTTGTTGTCCTTTTTTGGCCCTAAAACACTAAACACTCAACATTTTGTGCTAAATATTTTGCTGTCTATAAATATGAATTTAATTACCAGTGACTTAAGTATGTACTATATTCCAATATGCTTCAAGAATCTTGGAGATTTTAGAACATATCTTTTTAGGTATCAATACCTATCTGAAGAAATGGGTTTTTAGCATTGTAACATTGAGAATTTATCTCCTTTGATAATAGTGAAGTGTGCAATGTTCAGACATGGAATCAGAGGAGATGCAATGAATTCTGTCATTCTGCGTGACAAGTATTCATTTTCCAGGCTGGAAATACTGATACATTTTGAGTCAGATTGTTCCTAATACTACCACACAAATACAAAGCAATAAAGGGCAGTCAGCATTGTTATTACACAGAGCTCAGTCTGTTGCCAAACAATCTGGTTCTCTCCCGAGATTAAATTGCTGGGTAGTTTACTAAGTAAATGTCAGATTAATGGTTAGGGGATACCACCTACCAAGCTTGGCTTTGAACCTCATGGTGAAATAAGTGGGAAGTTGTCTAAATTCTGTTCTCTGTTGTCTGAGACACAACATCAAATATTTTTCTTTGTAACACTATCCTCCTGAGCTATTTCCTTCTTTAGCATTACTATTCTTCTGAGCAAAATGATGCCATAGCATTTTTAGTGTCTGTTTTAAAGGGATATGGGGCTTATGTTCTTACATAAAACATTGTCTGAGGAAATAATGGATGTATTTCTGAGTAGGAGCCATCCTTTTAACTTTGGTGCCTTTCCAATTGCAAATTCTAAATATTAACTACTTGACATTTTTCCTTCTTATTCTGTTTTTTGGAAGTATCACACAAGAACAGTCAGGCTTGGGATGATGCCATATGCACCAATGTGTGTGTGGCCTCTTTCTCTTCCCTTGTATGCACCCCATCCTCTGTCAGGCCTAACTTTCTCTTTTACAGTAGTGAGAGATATTAAGTCAGAGGTATCAATTACAAATTGTTATATAAGTACCCTTTTATCCTCACATAACAGAGATTGTCTTTTATAAATCTTAGTGGAATTTTTATTTCTCTTCTAGCTTGGGCAATGGTGGATGGTGGGTCAAATGTAAAAGCTCGTTCCTCCTACAACGAGAAGACTCCCAGGATTATTGTGTCCCGCTCCCATGCAGGAAAAGTTGAGCAGGTTGCACGGCAGACATTTGGAAATAAAACTGTGATAATCCCCGCTGGTGGAGCAGGTTTGGTTTTTTAAGCATCCTATCCATTTTATTGCTTCTGAATGTTTGAATGGTGTAGCTGTCACTAGACAAAAGTATGTACTCTGGTGTCTTCTCTTTTTACTCTTGCCGTTTGATCTTCACATCACTGAAAGCAAACACTTGACAACAGAGACAAATTTTTTTCTGTATTTAGGAACCTACATGCAAACTTGGTTCAGACTTCAGGCTGTTCACAAGTCAGCATGTTACTGAGTCTAAGCCTGGGCCAGCAATGTTGTTGTGGTCCTTTCATTGAAACACACTGATGTGTGTTTATGGAAGTCACTGATGCCTCAGTGGGAGAAAAGGAGTTGTGTGACCACAGGCAGAATCATGGAAGAGAATCTGTTTGTATGGTTGATTTAAAAAGCAATTAAGAAAAAGGCCATTAGAGTTTGGTATTGTTTATTTCATTTATGTCAAAAGAGAAAATTAGTATCACTAAAGTCCATTTTTATCTGCCTAAAACTCAATTTAAAGAAATTTTAGAATACTTTTTACTTATGCCATGTCCTTGTGCATGTTACTGACAGAACATAAATGGAGGGCACTGTTTTTTTTTCCTTATTTTTGCAGAAATGTATCCTTGTGTGTCTTTAATGCGAAAAGCCAGAATTCCCTTACAGATTGCTTAGTCAAGAAGGTCTTGCACTGCTTCTTGATAATGACAAAGAAAGTGAGAGTGTAACTGATTATAACAGGTCTTGTCCAGGGCTTGACTCTGTTAAGGATCAAGACATGAACAGATGAATGAAACAAGAATATTGGTCAAAGAGTTCAAAACTTGAAAAAATTACATAAAAAAACGAATACTGTTTTGAGCAATTACTCTGTACTGCAGAGTGAACAATAAAGGGGAATGTCCTGGGCGGATTTACCTTATTAGAGTGGTATGTACATCTTCCTTTTATTGCAATAAAAAGCCATGGAGAGAAAGATAGACTTGAGCATGATACAGAGATTGAGAAATGAATGAGTAAACATTTGACCAGAACTATATTTGAGTGCCTGGTCTTGTTCTTTTAATGTGTTTTGACAGGAAAACTTGGTTAATTTTCTTTTTTAACCTCTGCCCATTTCTTCTAGGCTATAAAGTATTGGCCCTCCTTGACGTGCCTGAAAAGAATCAAGAAGAAGCTGACGTGTATATCCATGTCACCTACATTAAGAAGTGGGACATATGTGCTGGAAATGCAGTGTTGAGAGCGTTGGGTGGCCATATGACTACCCTGACTGGTGAAGAAATTAGTTACACTGGCTCAGATGGCAATGAAGGAGGACTTATAGCCAGTATCAACATGAACCATAAAGCACTAATTGAAAAACTTCCAGATCTGGAAAAAACGTCACACAAATAAGCATGACTGGTGGAGAAGTACAAGTTGTGCTTTTGTAGCCTCCAGATGGCTCTGTCTGAAGAAGCAGGTGTGAAAACCTGCTGGGAAAGATGCACAGCAAAGCAAAGCAGTTTGGTGTGGGTTTGGGGACTATATCTTGCATTGGGTTTTGTCAGTGGTGGTATTTAAAAAGAATAAAATAATAATAATCAGAAGTAGGAAGGGGACAGTGGTCTCACACATCAGTTTCCATGGGTTTTTTTTTCAGACTGTTTTCATGCAGTTCTTATACTCAAGGTGCATTTACCATATATATTGGTGAACATAGGTGAACTGAAGAAAAATCCAATTTTTTTGTAAAATAACCTAAATATTTGTCACAGGAATTTGTTGAAACCTTTTACATCTTATTGTAGTTTTAGTGATTCCATAATAAATTAGGTAGGAAAAAAAGCTTGATTTTTATAGGCATCTGACAACTGTAAAGGGTTTATCAGGAATCATGACCTCATATTTTGTATCCCCTGAATGGAAAGCACAAGAGGGTTGATTCAAATCTATATGCAGCAACAGTGTGGCACTCTCTGCTTTTTAAGAGAAAAAAGGAAATGTGTTTTGACTTCTTTCCTGAAGATGTAAACCAGTTTTAGTTCAGGTGGGTTGTGAATATCAGTGTTTTAATCAGTGTAATTATTTCCTTATACCTTTTTAAAAGAAGGCAGCATTTCCTTGTATAGTTTTTAGCAGTTACTTCTTGTCCTTGATTTCTGCAAGCAGTGTTGAAGATGCATGCTAGATTTTTCTCTAATGTAGGGCTTGTTCATCATGTGATGTTTGTGCCTATAGAAGCAGCCTCTTCCTTCAGTACCTCTTATTTTTGTTTGGGGTTTCTTTCCATTGGACAGAGTCATAGGGGATGAGTTTTACAGAAATTGTAGGTTGACTGCTTATTTCCAATTCCAACACAAGATATAAACCAGCACTTTTTCTACAACTTCAGGAATAGCTTTGTCTTTTTAGCTTGCAGCACACTTTCCTGCAGAAAGCTCTTCAGCCATTCCAAACAGCTTGTGCTTATTTGGTTTGTGGTAATTTACAGAGAGAGGAGAGACCATTTGAAGTTGAATCTGCTTAAACAAGTTTGAAGAACATGTGCATGTGAAGGACAACAGGGTCTGCAAAACTTCATTGAAAAATGTTCTTTGCAATCCAGTACATACAGGACAGAACATAGGTCATTTGATATCAAAATGACAATTTGTTGTACCTCTAAAAGTCGTGGACTTCTATCTCCAAACATGTAACCATCTGCACTGTTGTTCTCTGCATCCCCGTGAAAGGTTTCAGAAGGTTAAAATACATGTGTTATTTGAATTATCAGAAAATAAGCTGCCCATCTCTCCTCAAAAATGGCAAAATACTTAGTTAATATAGATGGTTTCTGTTTAAAGTTTGTTCAGCAAAGGCTTAGGCTGCTTGATCCAAACTCTTAATTCTTTAATTTTAACTTCTTTCGTATTGTTAATGAGAACTGCTGTTCTGATTAAAAAGAGTCTTTTCTCCTTAGGTCAGTAGTGGAGAATGTTTAGATACTGCTTTCAACTTCTAGCTGAAGTTCACATTTCCAAAAGACCTCCCAGATGTTGCATAATGACAGATACAGACTTTTATTCCTTAAACTTACTGGCAAAGAAGATTGAAGCTTAGTCCTATGAGCCTTTTGGTAAAGGTAGATTTTGGAGAACATCTTTTCCAGCACAGACACTATTGCTGCTCTTTGAAAATAACTTTTGCGCATGTAGATAATACACAAAGCAATTTTCCTTTCAGTTCTTAAATTTAAGAAACTGTTATATGCTATGAAAAATAAGTGATCATGCCCTTTTTAAAAAGGATCTGATCTATTTCAAAAAGTTGTTGAGCTTCCAAACTTCAGTGAAGAATAAAAGAAACATATTTATCAGCATTTTAACATTTTACAAGAAGATTGCAGCTTTTTAAGGCTGATTTAAATGTCTTATAGCCTAATTTAATAAAAAAGTCTGTTTATGTTTTAAATGTTTATTTGTTTAAGAGCAAAAATGGATGGATTAAAATATGAGAAATAGCCAGAGTTAGCCTAGTATAAAAACCTGGTTGTATCACAGAGATTGAATGCACAATATTTAAGTAGGCAATTAACATCTGTGGCAAGTTGGGGTTTTAGAATCGGTTTGAAATCTTATGTAAACATGCTTCCTAAAAATGGGACTTCTTTTATACTGAGGAATGCTTCTATGCTTCCTTGTATAAGCTGTGATCGGAGTTCCTGTATGGGAAATGAAAAATGTTATGTAATATACAAGGGCTTACTTGTGTCTTAGTTGAAGGCATAGAGCAGTGAACAAAAGTATTTGCCTAAGTTATTTTTTCTTAGGAAAACAAAGTACCTTAGGAGAGGCCCTCCTTTCCTTCCTCCCACATTCTGGCTAAAATGCCTAGCCTTCCATTAGGAAGACTTGTGGTTGTTTAGACGTATTAATATCCTAAATTGCTTTGTTGTAATGGATCACAGTGTTCAGTACCTTTCACAGGGGACCATTATTGGCCTAATCTCACTCCTGGTGAAATTGAGGAAGAGGTGGGAGTATGGTGCCCAGTTAATTACTTGTAGTAGAGCTGCTTTCCTACATTTGAGAGCTAAGGCAGTGCTTGTGGTCTCCCAGTGTAATTTAAAGAGTAGCTGCTTTGGTGTGAGAATAGGTGAGCAGCTGGTGAATATGAGTTTCAGATGTTATTTTGCAATAAATGTAACACTTATGCAGACCAGCAAGTATTCACAAGTGCTTGCTTAGTGCATGCATCCCAGTGCACTTTGTTTGTATAGTGTTAACACTGTGTCTCTTCTTTGTCTGTGTTTACACTCCATTCTGAAACATTCTGCTTAAATTCTCGCTTGAATATTTGTTTGGTCTCATCAGTGTGGGTGTGACTTAACCTTATGCCCAGAGGCTAGGAAATCATACCATACCCACATCTCACTGTTGGGCTACAACAGTGTTCTTTACATTTTAGCCTTTTCCACATGAAGCTGTCACACAGCATTTTTAGGGATGCTACTTAAAACAATTGCATGTTGTAGGTGGGTCCTACAAAATTATCTATTTTTTAAAAAGCTTAACTAAAAAAATCATAATAGCATTCTAGCTCCAAATAAAGGAAGTAAGAGAATGTATTATTTTAGCATTGGTTTTCCAATGGTGGATATTTTGAGTGGCTATTATAATTAAGGTGGTTACAAATGAAATTATTCTAAAGCTGTATGTATTTTCTCTTTTTCATTCTTCCAAAAAGGGTGTATGATAGCATAGATAATACCTGGTATTGTACCAAGAGTCCTAGCTTTCATTCCTTGAATGAATGTTTTCTAAATAAATGGACACAGAAATAAATGGGTTGGATATTGTATTTAACTGTTTTTGAGATTAACCTGTTTGTCAGACTTTTACAGATGGATTTAAGAGCTGTTTGTTCTGATCTACAGAGTACGTAATGATAATGAAAATACTTAGTAGATATGGCATACTTGAAGAGTGAGTTAACCATACAGGTGAAGCTGCAAAGTGATCTAGTGATATTGTTCCATACATTTACTTCATGGTTGTTACAGGGAACAGATTTTCTAATTGGCTTCAGGTGTGAGGAAAGTTTTGGTTTTCTTTTTTAAATGGCCAATGGCTGGAGACCAGAGGTGGGAAGTCAGTACTGGGGTTCATCTCTGCTTTTTTGTTTATAAATGAGTGTATTCCAATGTCTTTGTAGCATCCTGTTATCTGTTTGGGTTGTACAACAGTAGTGCAGTATTGTATACTCCTGATTTAATGTCTAAAACAAGGAGTCCACATCTCCCAAGAATTGTGCAGTGAGAAGTGACCAGTTGTTCTGGGCTTCTGCTGTGTTATGCCAGCAAAGAATGGGTGCTTCATTGTCTCCTGGATGTCATTCCAATAGCAGTTTCTCTCACAGAAAACTGCTTTTCTGAGCTACTGTCTCCCCATTATGCCAAATCTCTTTGTAGATCTGTTTTCTGAAGTGAACAAGCAGTGGAAAGAAGGAGATGGCTGTGCAACAGAGGACAATTATTTTTGTTTCTTTGTTTTTAAATTGCAGTAATTGTTTAATGTCTCTTGTCTTTCAGGGGTTAGATAATGGTACGGATAAGATTCAATGGACCACAAATAAATGCCTGTGGGATTTTAAGCCTAAACAGGAGGAGGGCAGGAAGGACTGCCTCTAACCAAGGCTAACCTGAATGATGGTTTTCAATCAGGGCACTCATGCTGAGCCCTTCTTCCATGCTTTAGTGATAGTTGATGTGGATAAGAAAAATGAGAGATCAGAGATTAAGACAGTCCCAGAGTGAGAGGACCCCAGCAGTCAACTGTCCAGTTGCTGAAGCTGGTAATGTTTGGGTCTAAGGTAGTGACTGATTCTACCAGAAGTGCAGTAGTTGCCAATGAAATAATGGGAATGAAGAGAGGTTCATGCAATTAGGGGTACTGAACATACCGAAAAGATGCAGATGGACTAAGGGTTAAACACCCAAAAAGAAGGAGAAAATGTTTTTTCATTATAATGTTCTAAGCATTTGGCATCTGTGGCCCCCCTGGGTACAGAGCTTCATTGCTTATGGAAGAGGCTGCAGCGGCCCTCTGTGAAAGGCATGATTTTGTTGAACTCAATAGCAGTATTACCACTGTGAGCAGCACCAAGCCAGATGAAATAGGAACAGTAAATTAAGCTAAATTCTGAAAAGCTCAACCTCTGTCAATAGAGCAAACAACCTGGGTTGTGTTAAAGTTGCCTCTTAACAGCTTCAGTCTACATTTGGAGATGTCATCCTTGTGTCTAAAGTTCTAAGTCTTTCAGGTTTTTTTATGGTCTACAGCTGATAGAGCCCACTTTCAGGTAACATTGTTTTCTACCCCAGTTGTTCCTTATTTGCAATTAATATTTCATTTTTTCTCTCCAAAGGATCAGCAACACTCCAGCATTTTTACTGTTGTCCCACCAAATTCTATTAGCATTTTCCAATTGTGTGCCAATTTGAAAAAACAATTCTATAAATAAATTCTCTAAAAATACTGGTCTGTGAGGGTGATTTTCTGTATTTTGTCTTGCTAGGGGGTATTCACTCATTCTTTGTGCTCCAGATTTTTTTTCCAGTAATGCATGTCATGTTGCTTCAGTTGTGCTGTATCTATTATGTGTATGAGACTTCCTGTCTGAAGAGTTACTGGTAAGTACAGCCAAGTTTATGATAAATATAATTCAAGATCTCCACTGTTTTTGTTTTCATACCTGTGTTGCTGTGAAATCTGGTGAGTTTGTGAAAGTGAGTGTTTAGAAATCACCCAGATAGTAGTGTTCTTTGGATCTAAAGAAGTTTTCTTTCCAACATCATTTCCACATCTCTTCCTAATTATGTTACACTGTTCTGCTCAAATCTGTTTCCATGAGAATAGTAATAGCAGGGTAGTAACTGTACCATTATTAGCCCTTACTCTATTCATGTCCCACTCTTCGTAAGTGAAACCATGGAGCAAGTTGAAAGATCTTTTATGTCCCACATCATTATGGCATTTCTAGCAGTTCTTGGATGCAGCTTCAAATTTGTTTCTCACCATTCTCACCCTTACCAGTATGTGCAAGACTGGGTGTCCAAAGCAATTGTCTGTCATCCTGAACTTAGGCAACATATGCCACAGAGTTGTACAGAGATGTTTGGAAAACCCTAGATCATGTGTGATCTAACAAGATAAGGAATTTGGAGTCTGTTGCAATGCTCCAAAATGCATCTCTGGAGAAGATGCAACCCAGAGGAGGAGGGATTCTTCCCATCTTGCAAAGCCACTAAGTGCATGTCTGTGCAAGTGGTACATGGCTTGTAAACAGCTGTATCCTTTGGGAAGCCTGAAGGGTCCAAATAGAGGTGGATGTGTGCTCTTTGCTGTCAGCCATTTACACAAGGCTCTCAAACATACCTTTCTCACACCTGATCTATCCTGTCCTGCTGCAGGGCCAGCATTTTGCAGGTTTCATTATTTAAAGCAGTATGAAAGGTAATATATAATGCTGTAGAAAAACTGTGCAGCCCATGGTGGCATCCTGCTTCTCAACAACATAAACCAAATCTATGTCTCCCATTTGTCAGTTGGGTCAGCATCTTGCATATTTTGTGTTCCACAACTTCTTGGTTTTGTTTATTCTTTTCAGACAATCATGCTGTCCATATTTGATTCATAAATGTAAACTGTTTGTTAAAAATGCAATATGTTTAGTTTATGCTGTGCATGCCTGAGAGCCACTTGCATCTTTCTTTGTACAGTAGTAAGACTGTCCTGAGTAGACTTCTTTCTTGGCATCCTGCACACTAAGTACATCCTGCACACAGAATATTTTGAGCTGGAAGCAGCCCACAAAGAGTCAAATTTTGAGTGGCCCACACAGGGATCAAACCCACAAGCTTGGCATCATTTGCAAATCTGTGCTCTAACCAACTGAGCTGAAGGCTTTTCAGTTACTAAAAGCCCTCCTACAAATACCAGTTCATTCATACTGCTACAATAATTGAACAGTTTTCCTGGGTTATGCTGCACAGCACTGTTTTAACTTGGTCTGGGCCCTAAGTCAGTTGCTTAAAGGTATTCTAGGAGTCTGTCAGTCAAAGACAATTTCTGATCTCCAGGCAAGGGGCTGAAGTTCTGCTGGAGAGGATGGAAGTTTGACCTGGCACCAGAAGTGGGTACAAAAGCAGATTGTACAGTCAGGTGGCTGGGAAGGGACTGTGGGAATGCTTTGCAATCAGGGCATACTTAATGGAGTGACTGCCCGTCATCTCTGCTGTAGGCCTAATCCTGGTGACCCTTTATTTGGCATACATTTTAAGTAAAAATACTCCAAATTACAAGAATTCTTCCAAAGTGCTGTGATCTAAATGAAAAGCACAACAAGCATTGTGCTAATCGGTAATAATTCTGTTAGGGTATGCATAGAGGTGAACCTAGACAGATTTGGCTTTTACATTTGAAAACAGCTCATTTTTCTTCCAAATGGATGTGTACATTATAGAATTAAGGATGTGTCAAATTTGCAGTACTCTCATTTGAAATCCACCTGGGCTGGGTGAGTATGTTCTGTTTGTGTTTGCAGAGGGCTGATAACATAGTGCACATTCTATTTCCCCATGGGGGTAGTGTTCAAATAAAATAAATAAAGGGGATAAAATAGATATGAGATCTGTACTAGGGGAAAGGCAAATGCTTTAACCTGCTTCCCATAATATTCTGGAATCTTAATACCTGAACCTGTTGGAAATATTTGTATCAGCAGTAAAGATCTCAGTTTATTTTAGCAAAAGTAAAGTATTACTTGTATGCAATATTTGCTACTGGAACTGAACTGAATTAACCCAGATCTCTTTGCTGTTCTGATAAGATACCAATCTTCTCTTACAAAAATAGTTTTATGGAGGTGTAACAATGGCTTTTGGAACCTGAATTGCACTCCATCCTGATAGATGTAGGCTAAGAACAGTACATATAGCAGAAAAGCTTTTAGCGTTGGCACTGGGATCTCTAAATGGCTTAGAACAGAGGGAAGCAGAGGCCAGTAGAGGGCTCTGTCTGTTCATGAATCCCCTCAAGAGCCAACGAGATCTTGGTGACTTGTATGTGCTTGCATGCTGGTTTTATTTCTTACAAAGAAAAGTCACCATTTTTTATTCCTCACTTGTGACGTGTCTTCACTCAAGCAGGCACAATTCATACAATTAGATCTTCCTTCAAGATAGCAAAGAACAGGTTTCTTTTTGACCTTTCTGAAACAGAGCAATTGTACCCATCCTTATCTGGAAATGTTACATCTTGAAGCAACTCCATCACACATTTCCAGGCTCTTTCAGGCCACTGTGCTTACAAGAACAGTGACCACACTAATATTTTATAAGCTTCTTGCTACTGAAGTTGTTTGCTGTTTATTTTTCTTATCTCTTGTCCCTGGCATTTCTTTTTCCTCTGTGTTTACTTCTCACATGCAGGCAAAAAAAAGGAGTAATTTTTTCTTTCAGCCTTTTTCAGGAAATTAGCTGTGCTTTCCTCTACATTTGCCTTCCAGTAATGTATTAAAAATGTGATATTACTTCTTTCTTTGCATTGCCTTTAATTTATACCACATGGACTTACAGTGACTGTCACCTCCAAGCCTGTGGGACAGAGAAAAAAAGAAAGGCCCATGTGGCCCTTGCTCCAGCTGCCCAGCTGAAGCAGGGGTGTATTGTTTTCCACAGACTCTCATTTACTCAAACCTGAGGCAAGATGACAGAGAGGAGTAATTCTAAAGAACATCCATTTGCTATGTCCCAGGCTTCATTCTCCTGTGGGGATGGTTGGTCCCCTAGTGAAAGCCAATGTAAATGTGTCCTAGTCTGCCAGAGGGATGGTACAGATACCAGAAAGTAACAACCACAAAAAGAAGAGCTGGGGAAAGCTAGGCATCCTAATTTTAAACAAAGAAAGTAATTCCTTCTGTGTGAAAGTAATTCCTTCTGTTAATTATATATAGCTGCATATTTAAGTGCAATACTTAAAATGTGAAAATGAAGCACCTTAGCTACTTTGGGAGATGAAAGAGAATGAAGAGAGTGAAAGAGAATGAAAGCTAATGTTAACAGAAAAAAAAAAAAAAGCATTGTCTGTTTGCTATTTGTTTGAGCAGCTGTCCACACTACAGATTGAAATGCTTTGAATCACTGAGTCTTTCTTGGTCTGTGTTGATCACAGGCACTTTGGGCAGTGCAGTCTCTGCATCAGGACTTGGCTGAGCTTTGCTGTGTGTCTGTGGGGTGGGCTGAGGGTGGTGGTTCATTATCTGACTGGAGTCATCAGGGGCAAGGCCACCTGCAAAGTTGCTGGGTGTGCTCCCCACTCAACCTCACTGTGCCACTGATGAAGGTATCAAACAGCACTGGTCTCCCTGTGGGCCCCCGAGGGGCATCATGCATCACTGAGCTCCATCCGACCTCTACCCTTCGATGGGACCATCCAGCCACTTCCTCACCCACTGAACACTCTGACCATCAATTCCATACTTCTCCAACTTAGAGAGAAGGATGATGTGGGGGCCATGTCAAAGATCACTCAAACCAAATATTTAGTTTGAAAATTTCATATCAAAATGAGATGAAAAAATCATTATGATGACGTATTGACAGCCAAGAAGAAAATATCTATCCATGGTATTTATTAAAACTTACTTTCAAGCTGAAGCAGAAAAAACGCATAGATTAATTACTTAGGTTTTGATTTGTGGTTCTTTGTTCTTTTGCTTGAACATCCATTAAAACCAAAATTTATTAAAAACACACAGTTCACTCTTTATACTTCAATATTTCAGTATTATATTGTAAATGCCTAACAGACAAAGCACAGGGAGTTTGCTTGAAATCATAATGAACAATTAATGCTTCAAATATGTTTTCTGTGTTGGAGAACTCATATGTATTTGTCTGCCATGCCCTAGTTTGTGGATGACACTATTAAAAAATGGGACAAATAATGTAAAAAAAAAAAAAAAAAAAGATTTTCAGCATCAACACTGCAGGCTTTTCAACATATTTAGAAATATTTTTCTCTTAATGGAAGAACCTTGTATTTTGCTATACTGATTTTTAAAATTCTTGACAGCAACAGACTGTTCCTGTATCCTCTCTTTTTAAGCCATCAAGGGATTTGGGGGTTTCTATATATTTTCAAAGGTGCGGATCTGAGCAGTATTACAAATATCATATTCTGAGCCTTTTTTTAACACTTCTACCTTCACAAGTGTGCAATAAAAATGCCAAGGAGCTTCCTCAGATCAGTATGATCATATGCTTCTTGCTTTAAGTGGTTCATTGTAGCAATCCTTCTCCGGTGTCACCATTATGGTGCCCTTAACAACCGAGTGGATAGAATATCTGAGGCTCTTCAGATGATGAAATACATCGATTTCCTGCTGCTTCAGTACAGCCATTTCTCCCTAAAAATTCTGAGTATTAGCCAAAGGGCACAACTGTATTACTTTAGGTAGAAATTCAGACCATTCTCTGTTTAAGGACATGAGGTGGATTCAGGCTCTGTTTCCTCCTTGTGACTAAGTGGAAACCCTTGATTTTTATGCAGAAGACTGTAGTTTTGTCTCAGGAGTGTTTCATGTCTGGAGGACTCTCTTTGGAGAGAGTCATTTTATCATTTTATGATGGGGTTTGACTTAAATCTAAACTGCATTATTCAGCTGATGGCTACAGTGGAAGGGTTTTTGAGTTCTTAATCAGAACTGAAAATACTTGAGTGCTTTGAAAATCCAGGGTGAATTCACACAGAACTCCCTCATAAGAAAACTCAGGACAGGAATTTAAAGTAAAACTAAATCACAAAGTTCTATTTTTGTTTCAGATATATGACTGGTTTTAGCATGAGTAACTTTTGAATTTCCTTCTTTGTGTGGATGTTAAAATAGATATATTTCTGAGCAGTTTTTATCAATAAAGCTGTTAGACATCTGAAACTTCAGAGATTATTCTGCTTTTCTATTTTCTTTCAGAATCCTTGGTTGGCTCCAAATACTTTGTGCATAAAAACAGAAAAGGAACAAGTCTGCAGAACAATTTCTATGATGGAGGAAGCAAATTTGAAGACAAAATCTGTTTTCAATTTCTATTCTGTTATAAGGCATTAAATGATTTATATCTGATTAAGAAATCAAAACCTTTTCAAATTGCCACTTCCTTTCTTTCATTCTCAGTTCCTGGTATATGACTGCATCCTAGTAAGCAGAAACTTGTGTTGGGAGATTAACTGGGAAAGGATTGGGCTAACATTAGGTGAATTCCAGCAATTCAAGGAACTTTCAGCTCCTCTATGTTATAGACAGTAGAAGCAGAAGCAGGAGTGCATTTATCTAGAGGTACAGAGCATCCTCCACTTTGCAATGAAAGGGCTAAATTGTAGGGAATTAGCATATTTTCCTCTTTGATTTTATGTCTGCAGTCTGGCTTGTGAGCTCATAGAGCAATTTGTTCTCCTCCGCCTCCATTTTGATTTAGAAAATATTGAATTAAATATAGAACATTTCTTTTAGAATGCAGAATAATGACAACTTTAAAAATGAGCATGAATTTATATCAATGTCAATCTTACTAAACTCATTGTCTTGGCCTAGCAATGAAGTTAAGGTTTACCTACACTTTTCCTGCTGCAATTTAGTCTTTTTGAGAGTGCTAAGGTATCACATAAGGTATCACACAGTCACTCTGT